TGACAATTTAAACATTAAACAATGATAACAATAGCACCATCAGAATCGGCTGCACCTAAAAATGTTATACTATTACCTCAAGAGACAAACAAGAACTATGCTTTTAAAAAGGAATATATACCAACAGTAACCAATTAACCAGTGCTGAGTTTATCATCAAAATATGAGGACAAAAAGAATGAAAAATGATTTAATGGATTTTTCAAAAGAAAACAGTAATTTGTTTCACTGATATGACTGACTTTGAGTATCCAGGTAGTTATCAGTCTGAAATGTCCAAAGTCCTTTTCCTGCTAAGTTGATGCTATGAATGCCAACTCATAGGCCAGAGGGTAAAGGATCAAAAATGGAATTAGATCCACCTAAAGCTTGGGCCTTCTGGGTGATGTCTCTTAATGTTGACCTTTCCTCCCTGTCTTACTGCATGCACTGGTCATGGTCATCTGGGGAGTAGCCAAGCACAGAACCAGAGTTTCTGGAAGAGTCCAGGAGGAGTTCTGGGCAGGGTGGGGTGGGAGGGGAGGATTCAGTTCTATGGGAATGACACGGGAGTTTCTGGTGCCTGGTAGAATCCTTACCCCACAGGGGCATCGGTTATGTTCCAGGAGGAATTTGAAAGACTAGGGGAAGTTGGTTCTTTTAGAAGATAGTGTGTTACCTCCTACTCTGTGTTTTCACTTGGTGTATCTTTCGTCATAACAAACACAACCTTTACATCCTCTGACTGTTGACCTCTTCTAACATTCGTATTACTATTTAGTTGTGCAAAACAAGCACGTGGCAAGAGCAGGAGTCTATGACTGTCCCAGCCAGCAGGGGATGATATGGACGTGGACCAGAGAGCACTACTTATTGTGTCTCACTCTCTCTCCTTCCAAGTGGCAGTTTAAAAAACTATCCTCATTCTGTCCTCTCTTTACCACTGTCTATTTGGCATGTTAGGGTGGTCAACATTATCATCAGTCACAGGACTATGAAGAACTTTATCTGGACCTGGATGAGAAGACTTCATAGCTCCCTGAGATCCTGGATGTGGGGCTGGACACAGTAACTGATTGAAACTCTTTGGGGAGGGGCTAACTGTGTTTCCAATCATTTATGTGGGAGAGCTTAAAGTGGAGCATTTTAAGAGTGTGTATATGACCAAAAAAAAGGCGGAGGGCAGTAGACCTGTCCTGCTTTGGGTTCATATAGAAATCAAATTTTGGGGGCACCTGGGTGGCTCAGTTGGTTAAGTGGCTGCCTTCGGCTTGGGTTGTGATCCCAGGGTCCTCCGATAGAGCCCCACATCGGGCTCCTTTCTCAGCAGGGAGCCTGCTTCTCCCTCTACCTGCCGTTCCCCCTGCTTGTGCTTGCTCTCTCTTCCCCCCATCCCGTGTCAAATAAATAAATAAAGCTTAAAATCAAATTTTGTTAATCACCTTGCACTTTCACTTCTGGTGGAGGTGATTACACTACTAGTCTATGGGTGGCATATAATTACTTACTTGAACAGTCAATAAAAGGCTCATAGTTTACAGATCACCAGTGACTGGTTCAAGGGTGGTCATGTGACCCACCAGAGCCAATAGTACATCATAAAACATTTGCAAGGACTTGTCAATCAGAGGTAGTTCTTTCCTGCTGGGCTCTAAGGTCCAGGCACTGTAGTCATTTTGCTACTTGAATTGCAATAACTGAGAGAAAGCAGAACTGAGATATGGAGAGAGAATAGCAAGATTTGAGTTTCCCTATCATGGGACACCTGAAGTCACCCTATCCCTGGATTTTCAGATTTGTCAGCCAATAGGTTCCTTTCGCTTAGGGCAGTTTGGGCTAGGTGACCTCCCTGAAACTGAAAGTCGTACCTTATAAATTAGAAAATGACATATCAACTTGGTGTGAACTTGGTAAAGTGGTGAAAGAAACTTCTTAATTTTATAGGCAACTCTAGTAATCTGGTGCTGAGCAAATTTCAGGGCTTTTCTCCTGATGAGTTCAGAACTGTTTTTACTGAAGTGAGAACACAGTATTTTGGTACTCTCTCTTGTGCTGTGATGATGGTAGGCGTTTTGTATCTTAAATTGCTCTGAAAACCATGCTTCCCCTCCAGTTTTTTTCTTTTCTGAAAAAGAACCGACATTTAAAGTATTTATTAAGTAATAACTTTAAGTTTGCAGGTGGATGAAACAGCCATAATATTGAGAAAACACGGCAAAGTAGGAATGACACCAGAAGTTGAAAGCAAGAGGGTGTGTCAGGGTGGAGGTGGGAACGTGAGAGGCAGGAGGGCTTTGGAAAGGTTGCTTTAAGACCAGAACTGAAGTCAGCAGAGGATGAAGAAGAGCACTATGGGGCAGCCCTAAATATGCAGATGAGGTCGAAAGGCACAGGTTCCCCAGACCTGACTTTCCTCAGCCACATGCCACACACTGCAGGTGAGCAACAGGATTGCCCAAGAGTTCACCCAAGGTTGGGTACTGGCTAGACCGGTGTGGCTAGATGAAAGAGGCAAGGCATCCCAGCGTGCTAGAGCAAAGCTGAAGTGGGAGACCACGATACTTGGTAAACACTTGGAAGGGATTACATATTTGGTAGGTGTAACTCAGTATTCTTTTGAGAGCAATTACAAATTTCTCTCCAATTTCCCACTTCTCAAGAGATTGGAACTAAAGATCAGGTGACTGTTGAAGAATCAAAACTCACGGTGTGTTAGAAATTGTACAAAGAAGCACAATCTGAAGCCTCGCAGCTCTTTTAAAATCAAGTAACTGAGTCTAATTAGAACCAATCTAGGACTATCTGAAATGTGAGGAATTAGAGATGCAGTTGCTTAAAAACTAACTGGTACATAATGTGCAGCTGTCTGCAAGGCACTATTATCAATATGATGGATCCTGTGCTCATTTCACTGTTCTAAAGTGGAAAAGGATGTAAACCGGAAGTAGAATTTTCTGAAACACTGGTAAAAGGCAAAACAAGTCCTTGCACTGAGTGAGAGGCTGTTCTGAGCTCACACCTCTTGTAATTTTCCAGTGTTTGTCTCCCATTAGTCTTACTGGGGGGCATGTCTTGGCCCAGGTGTTTAGAAAAGGCACCCAGGTATCTAGAGGTATGCCTGGGAGGGAACAACGAAGGGCAGGTCAAGAAGAGCCTCTGTCTCTCCAATCAGGAGGGTCTGAAGGGCCAGAGGGAAGAGTATCAGGGCTGACAGTCCTGAATACTGGCAGGGAGAAGCCAGGTGCTGCCTGACCCTAGACTCTTCTTGTCTGAGGTCCCCAGCATTTCTGTCTCTGCCTCTCTCTCTTCTGCTTGGGATGCTGGAGCCCACAGAGCCCGTTTCTTATCCCAGGTGAGGACTCAGGTGAGGTATTTGCCTAGCTTATTGCAAAAGTCCTCCCCACCCCACTTTCCTTCTCTCATCCTGCTTTTTCACAAAGTCTTTGAACATCCTGCCTTGTCTGGTGCGCCCTTCTCTCTTCTGCAGATCAGATGCTGTCTACAAGGGGAAGTTCAGATGAGCCTCAGTTTAGGTTAGAAACCAACTGCAGTGTTTGGAATTGGGAATTTGCTTAGATTTCTAAATCTTAGTGGCCGGCCTAAGTCTCAACATGATGAAGCACTGGGTTGTAGACATCAGCCAGAAACAACCTTGGAATAATAGCCAAGTCAACTCATTTCATAATGTTATGTGACATTGGAAAGGTTGAGTAATTTTTCTCCCAAAAGAATGTTTAATTTAGGCCAAATGTTTCTAAGGGTGGATTGTTTAAGGGTGAGGTTTATTAAGGCACTTATGTACATATGATTCTTTTCTTTCTTTATTCTAAGTAGTAGGCCCTTAAAAATTATTTTCTCTTCGTGGCCTCTAGAAAAACCATGTTGCAAGAAGATAAACCATAATTTATAGACTACTGCAGAAAAATCTCTAATTTTTTTTTAAGCAAAAGAGAACTCTGAATCTTCACAGTGACATCTAACAAAAATGTCAGCGATGAATTAGGGATTTTTGCAGCAGATTCCATCTGTTTGTGTATAGCACCCCCACTGTTTATCAAGCTTATTTTAACATCTAGCAATGAACTGAAGCAGGAGGGAGAAATATTTCTTTATATTTACATTCCCACCTAATTTTAAGAAGTGATAGATCAAATTTTTGAAATAATTATTATTAGGCAGAAAGCCACACTGAATGCAAAAAAACCAACTTGAATCTCATTAATTATAGTGGGACAAGGGTACTTGTGAACACCGAACCCCATGTCATTATAAAGAACCCACAGAGAATTCTTAAAACATTTTTGTGATCCATTAAATTCTCTTCAGATGTTAGAGTTTTAGTGAGTATTTATCCTTCCTAGTATGAATATGGTAAATTAAGAAATTGTAGTAACTGGGAGCTTTTTTCTTAAAAGTGCCTAAGTATTTGGCTATTGCCCTTATCAATACTCATAACAGCACATCAGAAAGGCCTAAAATGACATCTGAAACTCTCTATATAAGGATCCCGAGGTGGCAAAAACAAATTGGTTAGGTCTGGACTCACCAAACCCACCTGAACAATCTTGGGCAGGTGAAGACACAATGAGAGAAGGTATGCCAAGTGATACAGTGTAATGCACAGACTCTGGTAAGAACAGAGGATTATTTTTCATGACCCACAAATACTCCTCCAGGACCTTAGAAGCCCTCCCACCCTCCTACCCCTCTAATCAGCATGTCTCCTGTTAGCCATCACATTCCAGACAGTGTGTGGCTATCCTGACATCCTTTCTGGGCAAGGGGAAACCTGGTTCAACCAGATCTCACGTCTACTCAAGTCATATTCCACAACCAACTTCCGCAAAGTGTAACCCACCCTTTGCCACATATCAAGGGGCCATGGGCGATTTTCCCCATGTATGCAGGTTAAGACTCTGTGCATATACACAAAAGACTAGCTGAGGTAGCAACTCTGAAGGCAAAGAAAATGAACTCTTGTTGAAATCAGTTTCTTGTCATCAGATGTAGTAAATGCAAACAAACCTGGCGACACCATACCTTTCTTCCACCGAAACTTCTTTCAGCTGCTGGTGTGGTTTGGTGCCTTCCATCTCCCTGATGCTCACTGCATAGATCTTGGTGGTGTAATCAATGGCCTTCTCTCTAGCAACGTCACTGTCATAGCCTCAAACAATGGAAAGGAACAGGGGCGTGGAGTTGGTTGGCAGTGGGAAGGGAGAATGTGGGGGAGGGGGGGAATGTGCGGGAAGGGCAGCCGGCTTGCGGCAGGTGGGGCTCACTCACCTCCGTCCTCTTCCGCGTCTGTGTCCGACTCCTCGCTATCCACCAGTTTGCTCTCTTGGGTCCCCACAAACTCCCTTGTCCAGATCATCAAGGCGGTGTCGGCACCGCCAACCGTGAGCAGCACAGAGTCGCTGTGCAGCCACCTCACATTGGTGACGTGCGCGCTGTGCCCCACATACTTCTTGAATCTTGCATGCTGGCCCTGTAAAGCCAGAAACCCGTGAGCACCCCATCCAGAGTCTCATTACTCCTGTCTCCAGACTACTTCCTCCATGTTCTTTTCCAGAGTGGCTTCTAGTGGATACAAATTAAGCAGTCGATCTAAGCAGCAACTTCCCTCTGTTTTTTTAGAGTGTAAGCTCCATGAGGGCAGGCACTCAGTCTCTTTTTTCCCTAAAACATTACCTGGCTCATCATGGGTCCTCAGTATGTAGTTTGTGAAGGAAGGAACGAAACGTTAGACTACAGACCCTACTTCTGGGAGCCTAATGAAGTGTACAAAGCTTATTTGTTTCTCTCAAATATTAAATGTACATTCTCCACGGGTCTCTAGTGTAAACTCCTGATGGTTAGTCTGGCTGACATTTGAGTTCAGAAGTGTCTTCACAGTCATCTCCCATAGTGGCTTTTGTATCACAGCCCAGGCTAGGACAGAAGAGCAAGGGACCGCTTATAATCCTGGGGCCTAAAGTAAGATTTAAAATGAACACAGCAGTTTCTGCCACGGATACTGTAAACAGTTTTCACTGGCAACACTCAAATAATTGGTTTTAAAACAAAGTAAGCTCCTTTTCAACAAGCATAACCAAATAAAAGAGCCCAACTTATGAGGGATTACGGAAAGCTCTTCAGAGTTGCACACCCAGGCCACACAACGTTCATCCCAGGTGGGGAAGGATGAGGGTGGAATATGAGTCGGCTGCTCACACTGGGCAGTCCTGACATGTGGTGGAAGCCGAAGCTGCCACCAGAAACCAGCTTCCATTTTTGGCTCATGAGCCACGGCCTGGCAAAAACAGCTCCAGCGAGAGCCATTTAAAGAGGGAGAGTTTTTCCATCCTCTCAGCAACAACCAGAGAATACCCTGACCGATGTGGGAAGCTGCACGCTTTTTCTGAGGTTGTGAGAGGGCCATCGGTGTCCCCGATGGAAACTGGTCTCAGTAACAGAAGAAGCTTCCAGAGGGTTTTAGGACTGGCATGCTAAGGAACCTGAAACCAGCACAGACACATGGCAGGAGACAGGTGCAGCAGAGTGTATGACTCTGAAATACTCTTAGTCAAGATCTCTCTGTATCGGGCAGACCCCTACCTGACAGCGGAGTGGAAATGCCCACTCCTCAACAGAATACTGAGTGTAGAAAGATTAGGGAAGCAGACAGGCAGGCCATATTTCCAGGAAGCCTTCCAGAGCCACTAGTTGCCAGAAAATAGGCACATTTTCTAGCATTGAAAATAAGGATTTCCAAGGGAAACCACTAGTCACATAGTTCTATGTGAGGTCATGGGAGCAAAGAGGCCAGCTATAGTGGCTGCAGCCGTGTGTCCTGCTGGTCTCCCAGTTGGAAGCAGGAACCTACCCACTGTATCTACTACACATACAAGCTTATTTCTTGAGGTGGACAAAGAAAAAGAGCCTGAGGAATGCTGCTCCATACCCCTACTTATATAATGGGATATACAGTTGCTAGACAGGATGAAAGAAGAAATCCGAAAAGAAAGGTTCAGGAGAAAAAATATTCTAAGGGGATCATAATCAGGTTGCAGAGGGAAAGAAAGTGACAGAGGAAAAAGAGGAAAAAGTTCTGAGCCACTAAAACAATTTAACAAAGCTGAGATTCTTGCAGCAGAGGGGGATTAAAGATTCTCAGAATATGAAGCAAGATCACTGCTCCATGGAACAATAAAGGGAATTCGCAGTTACTAGACATTTCCAGGAAACTAGCTGCTCCCCCAGGAGGAACAGGCCAGCAGGGATGTTTGGTGGCTCCCTGAGGGCTTATGAAAGGAGCCTCCTGAAGACCTGGCAGAGCTGGTCCGATGAGCTGTCCTTCTGGGTCACCACGTCAAACCACGCATTTGTGTATCACTCATCAGGACTCACTACCACAACTTGCCTCTTCCCCTGAGTCGTGACAGAACAGAGAATCTGGAATATGTCCCCACAGGACTGGATGTCAACTGCTGTTCGGTGAGAAATTCCTGAGAGTTTGATGAAAGCGATGTACCCTCTCCCCAGATTCACAACATTTCACATAGAGTTTCTCTGCCTGTAACACTTAATGGACAAAGTTCCTCTCAGAAGAACAATTCTCTAGAGCCTTTGGTTTTCCGAGAAGGAGACTCGAGAACGTAAGGGTGGGTTTTAGAAATATAAATGACATGGTGTATTTTAGCCTCGCTGGTAGAGTGGAAGGGAATGGAGGCTTAAGGGAACGGTTGGCCAGCTATACAGATGGCATCCAAGGAGAGAGCTGGGGTTTCTGCTACACGATTTAAGGTACTAGAAAAATGGAGGGACTCTGGGCAAGAAGAGTTTATTCCAGGGAGGCTAGAAATAAGGGGACTAATACCTCATCAAGAAGATTTTAAACTGTAAAACTGAATATGTAAGAGCACGTATTAGTCATTGAAAGAAAACTGCCTGGAAGATAGGCCAAGTCACTCCTAGGAAAGGAGAACAAGAAAAAGAGTCAAGAAGACGACCTGACATTAGAGTCTAACAAATGGAACTTGGACTTTGGGCAAAGAGATTGCTGTGTGGTGAAGGGATCTCATTAAGACCCGATGACATGGAACTCAATGCTAGGATACTGCAGTTGGGATGGTGTCTTAATGGGGTAGGGCTGTTCTAACAAGATACCACCTCCGGGGGAGGGGGCTTGAACAAAAGAAATTCATCTCTCACGGTTATGCGAAGAGGCTGGAAAGTTTAAGATCAAGGTGTCAGCCGATATGGTTCCTGGTGAGAGCTCCCTTCCTGGCTTGGACACACCACCTATGAGAACACAGCAAGTGTGCTTATGGCCTTTCCTCAGTGTGTGTGTGCATGGAGAGAGAGAGTGAGCTCTTTGGTGTCTCTTCTTACAAGAACACTAATCCTACTGGATCAGAACCCCAGCCTTATGCTCTCATTTAACCTTAATTATTTCTGTAAATTCCCTCTCTGTATATACAGTCACATTGGAAGGTAGGGCTTCAATATATGAATTTTGGTGGGGAAGCAAACATTCAGTCCTTAACAGATGGAGAACTTTGTCCCACAGACTCAGAGCACTGGAGGAGTATGACTATACAGCTAGAAATATTCATCAGCTTGGGTCAACATATTTAGGAGCGAAAGTGTGCCAGAAAAATCAGATTAAGACAAAAAAGAGGAAGAGAAGTGATACTATCAAAGTAGTTTATACTGACCAGGGGTTTTCAAATGCTTTTAAATTATGAAACTGTTTCTTCAATCAGATCTTACATAGTAGAACTCAAGAGTAAAAAGAAACAATCCAACTTAACATCGTGGATAAAAGATTTCTACAAACACTTCACAAATGGTCAATAAGGAAACAAAGAAGTGCTTAGTATCATTAGTCATCAGGGAAACATAAATGACAAACACAGTGAGATCACATTATCTGCTCCCGGGATAGCTAAATTTTACAAGTTGGACAACACTGAATGTTGGCAACTGGAACTCTCTTACCTTCTCTATGAGAATGTAAAATGATACAATCACTTTGGAAAAGGTTTGGCAGTTTCTTAAAAAGTTAAACATGCACTTCCCCCTATGACCCAGAAATTCTACTCCTATATATTTACATAAGAGGGAGAAATCACGTCCACAAAGATTCATCCAAAAAATGTTGATAGCAGCTTTATTTCAACCAAACACTTGAAAAGTATGTGCCCATTGATAGCTGTGTGGATAAACAAACTCTGTTCTATCCATACAATGGAATTCCATTCAGCTATAAAAAGGAACAGACTATTATTACACAGAACAGCAAGGAGGAATCTCAGAAACATTGTCTGAATGAAAGAAGCCAGATACAAAACAGTACCTACTTGATCATTCCATTTATTTTATTTTTTAAGATTTTATTTATTTATTTGACAGAGACAGAGATAGCGAGAACAGGAACACAAGCGGGGGAGTGGGAGAGGGAGAAGCAGGCTTCCTGCCGAGCAGGGAACCCAATGTGGAGCTCTTTCCCAGGACCCTGAGATTATGACCTGAGCCCAAGGCAGATGCTTAATGACTGAGCCACCCAGGTGCCCCTTGATCATTCCATTTATATGAAGTTCTGGAACAGGTAAAACTTATCTATGGTGAAAAACAATGGAATAGTCTTCTCATGTGAGAATAGAAGTGGGGGGGTAGGGGGGGGGCTTGACTCAGAAGTTAGCATGAAGAAACTTCAGGGCTGATAATAGTGATATCTTGATAGGTGTTTGGATCATGTAGGTGTATGTATTTGTCAATGTTCATCAAAAGGCCTTAAGGGGCACCTTAAGGGGTGCCTGGGTGGCTCAGTTGGTTAAGCGTCTGCCTTTGACTCAGGTCATGATCCCAGGGTCCTGGGATCAAGTCCCACATCTGGCTCCTTGCTCAGCGGGGAACCTGCTTCTCCCTCTGCCTGCAGCTCCCCCTGCTTGTGTTCTCTCTGACAAATAAATAAATAGAATCTTTAAAAAAAAATTTTTGTGTATTTCAACTATATGTAAATTTAATTAAAAAACACCATAAGCAAATATTGAACAATAGGTAATGATAGGCATGTTGAAACATTTAGGGGTAAGTACCCTGATATCTACAACTTACTTTGAATTATATACAGACTCTAGGTGGTGGGGTTCCAGGGGTTCACTATATCATTCTTTTGCCTTATCTATATGCTTGAACATTTTCATAACAAAACATTGGAAGAAAATCTTACACAGAAACTCAATGCATAAGATACAAAACAGAGAGCGACTCTGGCGAAAGCAGGGGTGGGGCCCCAGAGCCCCTTCAGTTGGCCCCTATCTTGTTGCTTGGGGTTGTCCTTGAGGAACCTCCTTGGAACTCTGGGAGTTGGAGGAACACAGCTTGAAATTTCTGCTATAGGCAGCCCATGTGGGCAGAATGGGGATGTGGATGATGAATTCCCAGGAACAACAATGAATCTAGCTCAGGAACATGATGTGGTGGTACCGTGGGGATTTCAGCTATCTAAAGATCTGCCCCAACCTGTCTACTAAAACCAGGGTATCACTAACTTTTTACTTGTCCCGTGAGCAAACTCATTTCAAAAAATGTAGAAGTAGGAAGGAAAAGTGCTACAAAGTACTGAACTCTGATCAAATACGAAGGCGGGGACTGGTAGGTGGTGGTGAAGTCATGAATCATTGGGGGAAGGCTACCAGGTGGCTTTGGAATTTGGGATGGATGATGAAGGGAACATGGGACATACATCAGAAGTGTATCTTACAAAAAAACTACAAAAATAATAGTCTGACAGGATTTAACAAATGTAGAATCAAAGAGGAAGGCATCTAAAGAAACCCACGTTGCTGCCAAGGGAACAGGTGTGATTAAGTGTACACATGACAGAGGAGTAGATAACTGGGGATGAATACAAAAGTCTTGCACAGACAACTTTAATATACTTTCAGGAATGCTGAAGTCAAAACCCAAGACAAGTGAAAAGGAACATAAAGATATATTTAGGGGTAGAAAAAAAACAGCCCAAAGTCAGGAACACTTCTTAGATGAGATGATTTAATAGCAACAGAAAGCAGATTTACTTATCTCCTCTATAAAGAGAATGCTCTTCAAACTAGAAAGGGCAAAAGAGAGCTGTGTGCCTGAGTACAGGTCCTTCCAATGTGACCACAGAAGTCAGGTCAGTAACAGCTGGGAAGTTTAGAAACCAGGAAAGGTGGCATCCAACATAAAAAGGTTCCTGTATTCAAAAGGGAAAACATGTAGACTCTGGCAAATATTGATTCATGAGTTGATGTAATCCCTGGAAAATTCTAAGGTGAATTATTACACAAAAGGTCAATAAACACTTGGAAAAGGAAGTAATGATTACTAAGCAGCGATAGGGGTTCACTGTGAACTGCATCTTTTACTGACTGGTTTATTAGAAGGAGAGATTAAGGATATCAGAGACATAGGCCATGTGGCTTGTAGCAAGATATTTTCCAAGTCATTAATGATGTGTCATTGGACTAGAGATAGAAATGTGAGCTCAGTGATAGCATAGTCAGGTAAATGTAAACGTCTATGATTGAGGAACTCGAACTCAATGTGTACACTAATAAACAGAATATCAAAATGAATGGGGCTCCTGCCGCTTGGTTGTTCTAGCCTTTTTTTTTTTTTTTCTCCCCATGATTGAAAACATCCACTTGTGAAATGAGAAGATAACGTGAGGCTGGAAAGGAAAGTAAGTATTTTGAAAAGGTATTTAAAAGATGTTGACAGGTTAGAACAACAAGGTGTAGTAAGATAAATCTCATTTGGGTACAAATATAAAGTTCTGTACTCAAATTTTAGAAAATCAATTGTGTTCATATGAGGGATAACCTAAACATTTTTTTTTTTTAGAATGAAATCTATGATTCAGTTGCATAGTGTGTCAGCCCACAGAGTTGGTGCCATTTTAGTTTGATTTAATCCAAATACAAAATCAAAAGAAGAAGGTAAGAGTCCCACTGAGCCTGAGCTGGTCAACATCTGAAGTGGTGAATTCCATTTCAGCTGAAAGAGTCTGGAATGGAACTGATAACATGGAGTGTGCTCAAAGGCAGGGGCAGCTGGAAACCACGTCCTGTGGGAAATGGCTGAAGAACCGGACACATTTAGGCAGGAGAAAATGAGATTTCGGGGAGTCAAATACTATCTTCCTCCACACGAAGACCGTTAGAGGACCGCAGTTATTTGGTGATGGTTCAGAAGGCAGAACTTTGGCTAAAGAAAAGAAATTTCCGCTCTGTATAGAGCAGAACATTTTGACAACTGAACTATTTAATAATGAATTGGGCTGCTTTGTGAGGTAGTAAATCCCTCCTCTCTGGAAGTATGCTAGTACGTGTTGGAAAGACACTGGTCCAAGACATTGTAAAGAAATTCCTCCTTTGCAGTTGGTGAGATGTTGGATTTAATGGCCACTGAAGGCCTTTCAAGGAAGAATTCGATACCATGAGAATCAGATTTCTATAGTAAATAAGTCATGAGGTGTTTAGATAACATTCATAACAAGAGGGCTGCTGATGACATTACTGACTGCTTATGCCTTCAATATTTAAAAATCCACTTAGATACAATACATAGATTTTAAGTTATTAATGAGACTGAGCAAGTATATATAATAAACATGCAGTATTACCTTGACGGGATAGGAGAAAAGCTTAACAAAGCCAAAATCATCTCCAGTTGCTAGGAGGGAACAGTCTTTGGTAAGACTGGCCGCATTGACCTCAGTCACGTCACTATGCGCGGGCCAGATGCCCTCGCAGGTGGGCCCCAGGACGCACGTCCATGTGTCCCACTCGATTTTCTCGATCTTAAAAAGAAGGAAAGAAAGTTAACATACTTTTGCACAACCTAGAGATCTTTTTTAATGGAAGCACAGTCACAGTTGGTGTGCAACGTTACATTAGTTCCCAGTGTACAGCACGGTGACTGGACAAGTCTATGTGTCCATTGAGTTCTGCTCAGTATGAGTGTAGCTCCCATCTGTTACCATCCAGCCCAATTACAATACCACTGACCGTCTTCCTTATGCCATGTCATCTGTTTTTCTTTTAAAAGAAACGATACGAAGCGGAGTCGTTCTAACTGACGACTTCACCAACATCAGGCATTTGTGTTGTGATCTGAGGTGCGGAAGTTCTAAGCTGCATTTTCTGAGTGGCATCTGCATTATCTTAATAAACACTACAGTCAGATAGCCATATATTTTTCTACAGATAGAATCAACATTTCAGAATTGTGGAAACCAGAGAGTAAGAAAGTTTTTTAGTTCTTTCCTAGATATTTACCATCATTGAATCCATAAGCTGGATCAGGGTTTCTCAGTCTCAGCACTATAACATTTTAGGCCGGATGATTCTCTGTTGTCAGGGGCTGTCCTGTGCACGGTAGTATTTTAGCAGCATCCCTGTCTTCTACCCCCTGGATGCCAGTAGTCTAGTCCCCCTCCCCAAGTTGTCCTCAGACATTGGCAAATGTCTCTGGGGGAGGGGGCAAAATTGCTGCCAAGTGAGAACCACTGAGCTACATTGATCACTTGGGCTGATCAGTTAACAAACTATTTTAAAAAGTCACAGATACAACTTTTGTTTTGAAGGGCTGCTTTCTAGAAGGAATGAGTACTAAGATTCTGCAGCTAGCACAGAGACTATCTTAAAAATCTGAAGGACTGTTCATATTGCATTGCCATGAATATGTATTTTATCCTTTAAAACTATTTTGTCTGAAATTCATGGACAGAAGACTTAAAATTTGTATAGGTCCAATCCTGATATAATCTAGGCTTTCCTTTTTAAAATAAACAACAGTAACCACACTGTGTATTAGACTTTCCTATTTGATCTATTATCCCTTAGCATTACAGAGAAACGGCAAGATAAAGATGGAGCTAGGGTTTTAGTCACAACGTGGGGAGGTGTTGAATGTGTTTTAGTTACTTAAATTTCTCCTCATTTCACGTTCTGTGTCCCTTCTGGACCCATGCAGAACTGGAACCAAAAAGCTGCGCTGGCCCTAGTGATTCGGGGTGCCTCGGGCAGGACCGCGGACTGAGGTGACTTGAGGTGGCTTAAACTGGCCTTCGCAGGAAAAGAAGGGAACCATTCCTGCTGGTTCTACAAGCAGGCTTTCTGGCCACTGACTCCCTTCCAGGTTCTAGATTCCATTTCTGAGACCCTCCTGTCCATCCCCAGGGCCAGCGCCCTTTGTGCCACTTTCCCTGACCTCGGTATTTAGGGCTCATCCTGTGGTTACCCCAGCAGCTCACCCTTGGCCAGATCTGGGCACTGTGGTCCCCAAGCAAATATCTCATTTGTTGGAAGCTTTGGAAAATGCATTTAAAATGGAACATTAAGAATGACCCCCTGTAACTCGCAAAACCCCAAGGGGGTAAACTTGTTAAAAAATCCTGGAACTTAGATGGAAGAAGGGTCCTCAAAGGGTCTTTTCCACAGCACCTCACCTCGGGCAGATGTGTCATTACCATCATGATTTTCCAGGGGAAGGAACTGAAGCCCACAGAGGCGAGCCACGTCCAGCACAGCCGGCTTAGGAGCAGAGGGGAAGCGAGCTCGAGAGAGCTGGCCTCCTAGTTTAGTGCGGCTTTAACTGCACCGGACTGCAGCAGGAGGATTTAAATAGATATTTTAATATTTGCTGTACTTCACAATTTGCTCAGCAAGCTTTGCATTAGTTTCACTGTGGCTGGTTTTTTGTTTTTTTTTTTTAAATCTTTTGTGGAAAGAGGATTTCCCAAACCCTTCATATGCAGCTGAAGGGCCTGACAATGCTGGTAAAGGAAATGCTGAGCTGCCTCTCTGGTGCCCTGAGGTGGCAAGCCCAGGGAGGCCCAGGCGTGGAAACATCAGCTGGATGGCCTCCCCAGACAGCGGCACCAGAGAGCAGCCTCTGGGATACCAACCGTGTACCGCAGAGTGACAAGTGAGCTCTTCACAGCCCGAGCCTGGCATTGCAAGAAGCCTCGTAACACGAACTTCCCTCTTGTGCCTACTCTTCTTATACATAGTAAGTGCTCATCGGTCCCAAGTTGGCATCACTCCCCCTCTACCACTTGGTTAGACTGGATTTTATTTCAGTATACCTATTTTGGGGCACCAGAACATGAAGGGAAAATACAGATGCAGTGGTGTAAAATGATGCTTAACTACACAGGAGAAATTCAAGAGGCCCCGTGGTCTAGCTGCCGAGTCACACATGGACCCCTCAAGACTGGGACCACAGCTCCACGGTTCTTACCCTCCTGGAGCTTTCATCTCCCTCTCTGTAAAAGGAGACTGACAACCATCACACAAGGCACTTCTGCAGACAAAAATACAGGCACATGAAGGGCCCGGCACATTCACCAAGTATCCAGTGAACAAATGACATAAGTTAAAATATCTCTTACTCAAGGCTACAGAAATTTCTTTTAAAAAGTTAAAACAGCAACTGATCAGAGAGAAATAAATTGGGATCTGGGAGTGAGAGCAATTGATCAGTAAACAATTTCCATGAATACGATGTCATCATCTATAACAACTTCTGTTTCCTACGTAATGCCTTTGTACTTCTTTTAGAAACCACGAAAACATTGTGAATGGGCCCATGTCCCAGGGTCCCTGGGGGCACTTTGCAACCATGGGATAGTTTCTATTACCGGCAAACTGCAGGCAGAGAGAGGCAGATGCCTGTCCCTCAGCCGTGTATCCTCTGACCCCTTTCCCTCTAAAGAAGCAAGATTTCCTTTTCTTTCTTCAAAGGTTACATAGCAAATAAATTGCCTCCTGGGGCTAAGCGGAGGTCCTTAGTGCTCTATCAGGCAATTACCTTCTGGCCATCCGCGTTAGCACAGACCCTGAGAGAGCCACTTGCCCACAAGAGCAGCCGAGCCTTTAGGATGGCATTAGGTCATGGATTCAAAAACTGTATATAGGCTTTGATTTCAACAATTAAAAAATGACGTTAAGTGGCCAAGGACATTAGGAAAACAGGGAGAAGGGAAACAGTTTGATACAAATGGATGGTCAGGTTGTAGATAGGTTTTGTTTTGAAAAGTAATTTCTCTCACTGTTGTTGCAGAAGGTATTACTATAATAAATAGTAAAGAGTGAGAAAGCATGTTTCAGCAATTTATGTTCACAGAAAGCTGTGCGCAAAAGGACAGGGTGTGTCCAATGGAAGAAGTACTATGTGGTATCCAAGCTGTTAGCTTAGTCGGTGTCTTCCAGCAGAGGGAAATGGAGCTGAAGGCCGACTGCACGAACGCATGATGCCACATCAGCAGCCCCGGGAATCCATAGGTCCTCAGAACGTAGGGAACCCGATGAAGCAGTCAGATTTAAGACGCGAGCAAGCTTAAAGGTACACTGAATATAACCCATACTGGTGGATAATAAGTGACAGGTTTTTATTTAAAATGCACATATTACATCTTCACAAAACACTTTTTAAAAAGCTCTGTGTAGGACTATTACCTCTGAAGGTCTTATTATATGCCGTTTGCCTCTTGGAGCTTCAAAAAAGAGTTGTTCTTTGGCACCCGAATTAACCTGCAGTAATTTTCCTGGTATGAGAGAATGAAGCAGAAAGACAATTCACATCTGCATTTATCTTTCTATTGTAAAGAGATAAGCACGGTTGCAACTATTCTGATTCATTTGAATCATTCTCATAAATTGAGCAAATAAATGGTAAAATCTCCACAAGTGCATGTAAAGGCGATTGCATGGCATGGTGCAGGCCCCGAAGCCACCAGGAGGTTGTTAATGTGGACCTCATCCCTTTTAATGTGGCCTTGCACATCCCTCCTAGCATCAATCCTGCTGTGTTTTACTCTGTTGCAAAGGAAGTACATATTTTTCAAAAGCTTGACAAAAACCAGGATTTTTTGCTCATTTGCCGGGTTGCACAAGCGTGCAGTAAAAGGAAACGGCTTTGGCAAGAACTATGGCATCAGAAGTGAGAACCTTGTGGCAAGCATCCACATTTATCCAGGCCTAAATTCTAAATTTGTCCTTTGAAGTTTAGAAACTGGAAGATAAGGATGTGTAGAACAACCTATAAATGCCCCCCCCATCTTACTTGAAAATTTGTAAAGAAATCCAAGATTTTCCCAAAACAAAGTGTTGAACAAAAATGGTCTTTTGGTCTGATGTAAAATTAAAATCTTGGATTCATTTTGATTAATGTTGAAGAAGATTAGATACCCTGATTCCCCTCCTAACACCTAATTCTTTATGCCTTGAAATTTAAATGACTGAAAAGATACAGACTCTGATATTTTTTCAGCATTTTTAAATCACAGGACATTTCAAACACACATAGAAGTAAGAAGAGTACGAAGAACCCCTATGTGCCCAGTCAATGTTTAGCTCTAACAGTTATTAGCACATGGCCCAACCCCATTCCATGAGCCTCCACTCAGGCCCTCACCAGATTATTCCGAAGCAAACCTCAGATGGCCTAATATTTCATCTGTAAATAATTCTGTGCATATTTACATCATACTATTTCTTCCCCCGCTTTTCCCCCACAACTCTGTACATCTAGTGGTCTTGAAATGTCCTTCCTGCAAAAGTAATATCAAAAAAGAACTCTGTGTCTTCTATCATGCTCTTTAATGCTCAGGTGGGTACCACCTGGGTCTGCAGGCTGGTTTGGCTAACTTTCTGAAGATGCAGGTCTATTTCTCAGTGATTGATTAAAAATAAGTCTCTCTAATTTTGTAACTGAAAACCTTAACTGTTTCTAATTTGCTGGGTTATAATAAATATGGTGATGAGGGACCTTGGCTGTGAGGAACAAGTGAATCTGAAAACATTTCCTTAGAAAGGGGCACATTTCCCTGAATTTATGGCTGAACATACACAAACAAGAAAAAAAAAAAGGCAGTTAAATCAGTTTTGTCTATTTAGTATTATAAGAAAATGAATAATCAATATTTTTCCAATGACTAAATAGACCTACAAAGTATTTTTTAGGATTCTCAAGAGGAAGTGCAAATAACAAATGACCTGGAAAAGGGATTAAAGGATTCAATGAAAACAGCCTTTGATTCAGTGGCTAATTTTAGATGACTTCTGGCCATGAGATACTAAGAGAATTCAAAGAATTATAATTCCCAGATAATCCCAACAATTCACTTTACACAGTAGTTTCAGAGATAATATTTTACCTAAAGAACACCCTAAAATTATTAGCATAGTTCAGTGAAGCACTTTATGACTGCAAGATTATTAGAAAATCTAAACACAAGAGACAAGCACCGGAAGTGCTCTCCAGCACCATAATGCCCGTGGGGTACCAACCTAGTTCGTGCCCCTTCCCTGAGAACTGCCCCCCACCTCGGGCTGGACCCCTGTGGTCGTGTTTGTCCTCTGGAGGACAATGACCCAGGACGGGCCGGGCCAGAGATGGGAGTGGGCACTCAAATTCTCTTTCCTTGGAACTCAGAATCTAGGAGACCCAATCAGTGGGTGCCTAGCTGGGATAAGATGTGGACTTTGGAAGTGAGAGTGGCATTTTGGGGTGACTGAGTGGACCAAGTGCAAATGAATTAAGGAAAGCTGCCTGTGCAGAGAGAGGGCCAAAAACAGACACCAGACCAAGAACAGCAGTGGACACTGAACTGAGCTGCCTCAGAGCAGGAGAGGAGAGAAGAGGGGAGAAGTGCCTGCTTGGTTTTCTGGTTCGTTCCTAAAGACAGTTCCTCAGGAGACGTTGCTTCCTGCTCTTGGATTCTATGAGCTATCCTTGTATCTTCCCAATAAGCTCATTCTTCATTATCATTTTAAAAATTTTAAGCTGAGTGGGTTTGAGTTCCTTGCAACCAAGGATACGAAGGAATTTTAAAAAATTGCAACAATTCTTTGTTAGGAAAGTGGAATTATGGGTGTGATTCCTCCCCCTGCCCCCACCCTATTCTTTACCGAGGTTATTACTTTTTTTTTTAAGCATAGAGAAAATATTTAGGTCACCACTCTTTTTTTCTGCTGCCTTCTTCTCTGTCATACAAGCACCGAAATATTCTGAGAACAGAAGCAAAGAGCAAAAAATCTGTATAATCCACGTATAATTGCCCCTTAGTAAGAGTAACCCTATTCTTTCAGAATCCCCAAATTTTTATTCACTAGAAATGTCTACTCACAAGGAGGAAGAGAACTGGAAAGTCCAGATGTCCTCATTACTAAGCAGGTATAGGAAACCACAATCCCCGCAGGTGTATAGAGCTATAGAATCCACAAAATGATTCATACCCATCATCCCAGTTGCTATATAATTCACAAGTTAGAACAGTTCCAAAATTCATACTAAATGTACCAAATATATCAGACCATTTGCAATGAAAATGGCAAAGAGCATTCTATTACGGCCCAAAGTGTTCACTGGTAAAAATCTTATAGTACTGATATTTCTAGAAACGAACTAATATCAGCTAGAAAATGTTCTTCCCTTATTTTCTCTCTCCCCACATTTTTTTTTCTTTCTCAAGCATTCTGTACAGGAGCTTTCATTCAGGGGTAGCTGATACTCCTGCAACAGCCTGATGCACTTTTTGGTTTCTTAGGACCCGTGGTTGCCATGGACACGAAAGGCTGCCGCGGCTGGTGACTGCGCCATCCCCCACCCCTGACGAGCCAGCTGGCTCTGGCAAATGTATTCACTATTTTTGACAAGATCAAAGGAATGAAACAGATCCCTGCTCCTGAATTCTGCTCTCTACCCCTGCCAGACCCTCGAGGCCCTGCCGTGAAAAGCTAGGTTGGTCTTGAGACAGTATGGCACATTCCTGAGGTCAGACACATTGGGAACTGGGATATCAGGAGCACAAGCATACCAATGCGACACATGTCTCATGGCCATCACAGTGGAGTTAAACCAGGGAAGATCCATGGGCATACTTGCTCTTATTCTCCGGATGGCATAACGCCCCCCTGAAAATCAGAAGTATTCTATTCTCCTCTCTGTCCATAGAAAACATTTGGTCTGATGCTGTCACCTGACCCAAGGGGCCACTTAGGACAAGAGATGAGGAGGCTTTTCAAAGACTCAGCCTCCTTACTCCCAGGGCCTTTTCCATCACCCTGAGCTCCGATGGACCACAGAGGCTGGCTTAGGGCAGAATTATGGAAATAGGGAGGTGTGCCTCTCTCCCTGCAAAGTGATGGCTCCACACAGAGGGCCATCTATATAGGCCGTCACCTGGACACCTGCATGATTGCGACCCACTGATCCTGGCCAAGATCTTGCTCTTTCTATCTAGGCCTTACTCCTCTTTATATCCCTAGCATAGTTAAGTGATACACACAGGGCCTACACATTTGCAGAATTAACTTTTTTTTAAAGATTTTATTTGTTTATTGGAGAAAGAAAGAGAGAGCATGAGCAGGGGTAATGGCAGAGGGAGAGGGAGAAGCAGGCTCCCCGCTGAGCAGGGAGCCCCAATGCGGGGCTCGATCCCAGAACTTCGGGATCAGGACCGGAGTCAAAGACAGACTGACTGAGACACCCAGGTGCCATACATTTGCAGAATTAAAAAATAATACCAAAAATGCAAGTAAAAACCACAGTCAGATACCATTTCATACCTATAAGGATAGTGACTATAAAAAAGACCTCCCCAAACCCCAGAAATAACAAGTTTTGGTGAGGATGTAGAGAAATTGGAACGCTGTGCTCTGCTGGTAAGAATGTAAAGTGGTGTAGTCACTATGGAAAATGGTATGGTGGTTCTTAAAAAAATTAAAAATACAATCACCATATGATTCAGCAATTCCCCTTCTGGGTCTATACCCCCCAAGAATTAAAAGCAGGGTCTAGTACACCCATGTTCATAGGAGCATTATTCACAATAACTAAAAGGTGGAAGCAACCCAGGTGTCCACTGATGGATGACTAGATAAACAAAATGTGGTCTATACATACAGTGGAGTATTGTTCAGCTTTAAAAAGGAAGGAAATTCTGACCCATGCTACAGTACGGATTAATCTTGACATTATGTTAGGTGAAATAAATCAGTTACAAAAAACAAATACTGGGGGCACCTGGGTGGTTCAGTTGGTTAATTTCAGCTTGGGTAGTGATCTCAGGGTCTTGAAATCGAGCCCCACATCGGGCTCTGTGCTCAACGGGGAGTCTGCTGGAGATTCTCTCTCTCCCTTTCCTCCTGCCCCTCCCCTCGCTCATGTTCTCTCACTCTCTCTAAAATGAATGAATAAATCTTTTTTAAAAAAACCCAAATACTGTCTGATTGCACTTACATGAGTTACCCAGAGTAGTCAAATTCATGGAGACACAGAATGGTGGTTATCAGGGGCTGGGAGAAGGGGCGAAGGGGAGTTATTGATGGTTTACAAGACAGTTTGTGCAGATGGGCGATGGTGAAGGGCACACAGCAATGTGGATGCAGCTGATGCCACTGAACTGTATGTTTAAAAATGGTTAAGATGGTAAATTTTATGTGTATCTACCACAATTAAAACTAATGTAAAAGAAATCTTCCCAATTGAAATTTATTCTTCCTATGTCCCATTTTCTCACATAAATAATAACTGAGTATAGCGCCCCCCATCAATGGTCACTGTAATGGTGGGATTTCACACACTGTGCCACGTACTGTGTGGGTGCTGGATCCCCAACAAAACGATCCGTACTCTACTCTGTGTATGCATAAGGCTGGCCCTGAGTGTTCTAAACCCTGCTCCCATGATGGCATAAATAGGGACGTTAGCAAGAGGATATCCAGGGGGAAGTCATTCTTTTTTTTTTCTTTTTAAACAATAAAGCAGAGAACATGCATGGGGGTGGGAGGCGCTGAGAAGCAACTGTCTCCCTCTACCCCCTCAGCCTCACTGGTCCCTAGAGGATTCTCAGGCCATCAGTGTACTGCCTGGTCACCAAGGCCAGCCTAGGCCCTCGACACTGTGTCTGGCAGGACTCTGATGTGAAAGTGAGAGGGACTTATGTGATCTCCCTCTGCCCTTGCTGGAACTTGCACTTTACAATCCACGGCATGTTTCCGTCCATCTAGTGCCCTGTATAAAACGCCTACGGGTTGTAAGGCTCAAATAAAGTCCAAATCCCAGGGCAGCAGGTATGGTTACAAATGAATACCTGCCTAGCAGAAGGATCCATCTGTCTATGGCCAGTACTTCAAGCAATACTTGAAACAAAGTATTCTGGCAACTCCGAAATCATCTCTTGCAGGTTGAGGCCCTCAGCCCCTCTCTCTCCTGGCTGATTTTAGTTGCTTTCCAACTCCAGGCTTACTCGTCCTCCCGAGGCAGCAGGGAATGCCCCATCCTAAGTTCCTTAGAGTTACCTGATACCTCCAGGATAAAGTTCAGCGCTCAGCTCCCTGGCGCATGATATAAATGTTCCTTTGCAGTCTGTCCTGGTCTGTCTCTCCACAGCCCCCTCCCTTCTTGCCCTCAGCCACTCAACATCACTATTTCTTAACCTCCCCCTGTTCTTCGCATCTCCTGTTTTGACATGCCATATTCCTTCTGAGTCTGGAATGCTCATCCTAGACTTCACCATCTGGTGAACTTCTGTTCATCTTTCAAGATCCATCTCAAAGGACGTTGCTTCCATGAGGCTCCGTGGATTCCCCTGTGAGCTCTTTCCTCAAAGACACCCCTGGGCTTGGTGCTTTTCTATCACACTCAACTAAAACTTCTTTGGCAGCTGGGACCCCGCCCATTCCTAGATGCCTACCCCAAACTCTAACATCAGCCAAGTCTCTGGGATGAGACTTAAAAGTGACCCATCATGGAACACTATGTCAAAAACTAATGATGTAATGTATGGTGATTAACGTATCATAATAAAAAAAAAAGTGACCCACACTGTAATAATGCTGCTTCACCCTGGGTACTTAATGCTGACACGGCCTATTCAGAGGCCCTGCACGCCACTGCCCTGTGACTCACCGTTTCTCATTCCAGTGCCTTACTGGGGGGGGCCTGTACTTCAAGTGCAAATACGTCTCCCTCACTAACTTATGAACTCTGGTGGAGAACTACAGGAACTGTGTCTTACTTCTGAATCATTCACATTTTCTGGCTTAAAACTTCACACATGGTCGAAACTAGATTTGTTATGGGTGTGACTTAGAGGGGGGGGGGGCGGCTGGGAGTTTTGGAGAGTAGGGTGATATTTCAGGTGAGCTGAATAGAGCTCTCTACCTCTGCCGGCAGGTGAAAATTGCTGGAGACTTCTTGGGCAGTTCTCCGGGAGGTGGAGCACTGATAGGAAAAGGGAAAACGGGAAGGGAGAGACACAAGGCGACGACACAGCTTGCCGAGCCCAAAGGTGAAGGAGTGACTTGCTACGGTAACGGAAGGCATCGCGTACCTTTAACGATCTTAAAACTCAAAGGCTTGAATTAATAATAGTAACTGTAGTAGTAGTAATAACACAGAAAAAATACTCAAAATGTTAATAGTAGGTGCCCCTGGGGTGTAAAGTTACAGTCATTTATATTGGTTGTGGGTTCCCCACTCTGTTTTTCTCCAAAACTCAACTGTTCTTCTCTCTGGAAACAATACATGAATGGATATTGACTTTTTTAAAACAAAAATTATATCTTAGAAGCCTCAACATACTTTACCTCTTGAGTCCCAGTCAATATGTGTAATATAACTAGAAGCCCCTTTACAGATGCCAATGCGTTTGCTTGTAAGGACGTTGTAAATATCCACAAAGTTATCATGGGAGGCCACAGCAAGGTATTTTCCTGTATCTGTAAAGAAAATGTGCAGTTAACACCCAAACGTTTTATACAGGAATTCACTTCCAGGAGCTTATTTCAAAATGGGGAAAGGTCAAGGAAGTATTTAAATAATCTATTCTTATAAATTTTTGTCCTGACGTATTCTAGAAAGTTTCTGCTGTAATCTTCACCTTTTGAAAATTTAATATCAGAGATCATTTCTTTTCTGTGATGGAAGGAGACCATGTCTTCAACAGTGTCAGCATTTACGACCAGGAAACTCCCATCATTCAAGCCAACTGCTAAGGCTTTCCCATCAGGGGAGAAGGCACAGCATCTTCCCCCTACAAAAGAATCCACGAAGATGATTCTGTTTTCAAACAAACTCAATGAAGAGATGGACATTTGCACACATGCATTACGCACAGACATGTGACTGTGTCTTTAACATTATTTGTGAGAACTAAAACTTCGTAATTTAGAATGTATCCTCTCTTCAAACCCAAGGGCAATGATCAGAATGCTAAAACAACTAACAACAAAACCCCATGAAACAAAACCTTTTCTATTTCTTTAAGGTTTATCCATTCATTTCTTACTACTTGAGTACATGGGATTTTCAAAAGACCCCAGGAGTGAGTGGGGGAAAGGAGTGAAGGATTAATAAAACCAGTACCTTTGCTTCCAAGAAGAGAGATGATACTTAAGAATGGGAATTCTGGAATTCAGTTTCTAGAAACCATTTTTTTGGATATCATGCCTTACACATAAAACTTGCTTTAGAGACCTTGTTGATCTTAGAGTCACTCCAAGACTTTGATCCATGGGTCCTAAGGCATAATTCTAGAGGTCAAAGATTTTATCCTGCCTCTTCTGCCGTGGACAATACTCTTTCAAAAGGTGTCTCTAAACAGTACGAGCTGCCAGTGCTATGTGAGCAGTGTTTTCTCCTGCTTTGCGGGGTCACAGAGGGATACTTCTGAATGAGTGTGGACTCTGTGTGTGGGGGTGTTTAATAGGAATCCTGTTTAATAATATCCCGCCCCCCCCTTCTTATTGTCAAGACTTTGGTAAGCATGGCCCCAGGGATGGGACGGCCATACAGCTTTGTGCTAAGGCACTCCAAACTCAGCTTCCACACACTCCCCTCCGTCACGGTTCATGGTGTACTGAAAGCTATGTACCAGTAACGGCAAACTGCCTTATCTAAATTCTATCTTCATTCATGCACTCAGGTAGCAACAAGTTATTTATGTACTGTGAGTCACACATGGTGCCAGGGCTGAGAGAACAAAAGACAAGCCTGCCCTTGAGGAGAGTCATCAAGATGAGGTTAACCATACACGTTATTATACAAACCAGGACACTTCTCAGAGTGAAAGGGAGAGCTAGTAATAATTACACCAGGAAAACTGCTATAAACTGGATTGAACGGTCAACCCATCTAAGATATGTTGATAATTGTTCTTTTGAACTAATTTTTAACCCAGTGAATAAAGTCCACTGTCTGATGTTGAAGTTACTCACAAGGAGGTCTTAGTGTATCATTTTCCCAGGATAAATTAGTGGTCAAATGATTCAGTCTTGCAGTGGTGAGAAGCATGGGCTTCAGAGTCAGACCTGGGTTTGAATCTTGGCTCCCCCACTGACTAAGGCCCACAAGTCCACTGTAAAGAAAGGCAAGATGGCAGAGAAAAACAGCTTTTGGCAGTAGCCGCAGGCGTGTTCTCTGAAGCCACTCTGTCTGGGTGGGAGTTCAGTGCAATTTCAGGCAAACAACCGAAGTTCTCTGTGCTACAGTCTCCTAATCTGTACGTGGTAATAATAATGGCCTTACTACTCAGGTTCCCATGAAGACCAAATGCAAACTGCTAGGAGTCACCAACTCAACAGGATCAGCCACCATCATTGTTACTACTGTGTTGACATCTTTTTTCATTTTATTCCCTTGCAATATATTCTCCACGTCTCTCTACTTGTAAAACTACCCCATATAAATATTTTAGGGCAAGACCCCAATCTCATCCTTCCCCAAGAACTTCCACAAATGCTTTGAGCCTCAGCTCTCGGGTTTCCTCCTTGCTGAAGTTGTCCCTGGCAGCAGGCCTTCTCCTGAGCCTCCACACAACCTTGTTTGTGTCAGACATCTTTCATTTGTCGCTCCACATCTGCTCTCCACCCCTCCCTGTGCCTTCTGCTGGCCTGCAAAGATCGCGTCAGTGGTCTCCCTGGCCCTCTGGCTTTTGGCTGCGTTTGGCCCAGGGGGAGCATGAAAAGGAGACCCGAGGGAGGGCGCAAAGGAGGAAGGGGGAACAGGGAGTTTGGGCTCTGTACCCCCCTAGCTGCCTCCCCTGCAGGGTCACTGTGCACTGGCGGCAGCCCTGGGCTGAGGGTCCTAGCTCCTGCCCGGCCTGTCCTCTCACAAAGTTCTCACTTCTGGCTTCTAGCATTGCTCTCTCCTCTTGACCCTTTAGGCCCAGGGCTGATGAAGGTACCTGGCTGTTAGCAGCTGCATGGCGCTGCACTATCCCTTGTCATTCCTCAACACCCTACCCACCCCTTTAACAAATGGTCCCATTTTTAGACTCTCCTCAAATCGCCCTATTGGAATGGACCATCTGTTGCTGGGACTCTGTGTGAATCTTGTCCATCTCTGACACTAGAGATGGGACCGTTCATCTTGGGATCCCCAGGACCTGACACATAGAAGCCACTCAATAAATGTTTGCTGAATTTGCACTTCTTGGTGTACCTCTTTGTTCTAGTAGCAAAGGGTGTTAAATACATATTTACTCATTTCTTGATATTAACTATTTTTTTTAATAAAACTTCTGTTTTTCAGTAGTAAAATCAGTTGTAGAGACTGTTAGACATAAAGATAAAGAAGCATTCTTTACAAGCTGATGGGTTTCAACAGACTCCCACAGATCTCCACCAGGAGAAGAAGAAGGACATATTGCCCCCAGGTGGCAAACGTGTGTGCAGTGCAAGGAAAATGAAGGAAGTAATAGATCAGGCCAGCTCTCTGGAATTTCTATCTGTAGCAACGAACACTGAATTCCCATTACCTAGCGTAAGTGGGGTCATGTACCAGGTACACTCAGTAAATATTAGTTGAGTGAATGAATGAACGCAACACAGTCTGTTGTTGGTAAATACTTTGACAGATGTGTAAAGTGGTATCACGTACCTTTTTTGAGTTTTCGAACAGCCAGCATACGGTGCTGGGAGGATAATTCCCAGATCCGAAGTGTTTTATCATCACTCACCGTTGCGCAGATGGGCAGGAGAGGGTGGGCTGCCAGACCCCATACTTCTCCCTCCATGTGCCCCTGTGGGAGAGGAAACAAGGCCATATAAACTCGGTTCGCGCTTCTTGGCTAGCCCTTCTGTAGCACTGTGCTGTAGACCCAGCAGGTTCACACATGAATAAACACAGGTTGAGCTTCCTTAAGCCAAAATGAAAGCACTGAATAATTTTTTTCATTTGAACTTAAATCTAAAGCTGGGCCTACATGATGCCAAAATCTTCATTTGTAAAGCAAAACATGGACTCGTTGCTCATAAGCTTTGTTTATATGATGCCAAATATTTTTCCTTTTAGAAACATCTGGGTAAATAATAAAATACCCTCATTTGATCCTCTTGCTTGATACTGAGTTAACACTGTATATACAGGCACACATACACTTGCAAAACGGCTTGATTGTGACACAAAGCACCTTTATGAATAAACCCATGTTCTAAAAGATGTAGGTAACCACCTATCTCTGTCAGAGGGATTGGACAGCAATATTCTTTATTTTTTCCCAAAAAAAGTAATTACTTTAAAAAAAAAAAATCCAGGATCAAATTAAGGCATATGCATTGCATTTGGTTGTTATATTTCTCTTCTTTTCTAGTCTGAGATACAAGTGACACATAACAGTGTATAAGTTTAAGTTTGGACAGCAATATTCTTATTAATTTTAGTCCTTTGAATGCATAGCATTTGGCAAAACAAAAGCTCAGTTTTCATACCAAGTGTCCTGAGAATAACTCAGGTTCAGTGTTTGTTCACACATTATTCTATCCAGTGAATATCAGAAAACTAAAAGGTGCTTAAAAGGCATTGGGCCAATTCCATATACCTGTATCTTATCACACACATAAATGGCTTAGAAATAAAAGTGTTTAAAAAATGAACAATTAGGGAGAAAATGACTGATTCCTGTAATTTATCACTCAATAAAGCAGTGTAAAGAATAGATTAGTGCACAGAACAATAAAACAGACCAGACCGTTCACTGAATTTCTGCGTTTAGTGTCTACTTAGAAAAAGGCTTTGCTTAGTAAAGCAAAAAGGAAGACCATACACAGCATCTGAAAGGTGTTTGTACTTGGACTGCTTCAGGGAACAGGTGGCTTTCTGAAGAGAAACTGGATGATTCTGGTTTCACAGGGAAACTGTTTGAGCAAAACAGTAATTTGGCAGAAGTTCCAAATAGAGCTGACATTCAAATATCTGAGAAGGGCCAAAGGGTGTAGATACGGTCTTTGAATTTATTGGATTTGGAGTACCCTACATCCCTAGTTTTCTAGTTTTCTTCCCTTCAGAAGCCTCTCATCCCAAACGTCATGGTCAGAGGATGGGTCAGGTGTCAACCCCAATTTCCCCCCAGAATGGATGTGCTTGGAGGTCTTTCCCAGACCAAGTCCCTTTTACATTTTGCTTGAGGACAGGGTTGCGTGCTCTGAGACCCTTTTAAATCACTGCCTCATATATTGACTTAAACATGGCATTTCCCTATCTAATGGGACTAAATTTCTGCATAACATAGGAATGGACAGTGAGCAAGACAGGCTGGAAGTTTCTCAAGTGGTATAGGAATGGGCTTGGAATCTTACCTTCCTTCTTTTTTTTTTTTTTTTAAAGATTTTATTTATTTATTCGATAGAAAGAGAGAGTACAAGCAGGGGAAGTGGCAGGGAGAGGGAGAAGGAGGGTCCTGCTGAGCAAAGAGCCCAATGTGATGTTCAATCCCGGGATCCTGGAATCATGACCTGAGCCAAAGGCAGATGCTTAATCGACTGAGCCACCCAGGCACCCCTAGCTACAGGGCTTTTGAGGTTTGTTTTTAACACAGAATTCTTCTTTAAACACATTCTTATTCAGGATATCCTGAGTTGGAACTTGGGCACATGCATTTTTAAAACCTCACGGTGTTCTGAACCACAGTGTGTGTGCAGACCTGTTCCCATGATGAAGCAAATCCAAGGGCCACTCTCAGTGGGATTTTGGGGTTCATCTCTAATATAGCAAGCCTGTAGGAGAAGGAGGTGAAGCTTCTCTATTGGACCCACAGAAGTCCTGAAGCTTATTATAACCAGTGCATATTTTTTTCACTCCAGCTTCTGAATGTACACCCTCATCCCAACCTGAGTCTCTTCCATCTACAAATAAGATCTGTCCATCACCAAATTGGGTAGGACTATCTGTCACCTCCACATAGTCTCACCTCCTCAAGTGAGATTTTATCACTTCACTGATCTTTGAGGATTCTGTTGATGTTACTGTAATGTGATTTTACCTGAATATAATTCTTGAGGGGAGATGGAGGGCAAGAAGTAGGTCATGTGTTTTTATGCACCAAGATGGAGACTAGAATGAGGCAAAAAATCTAAGGAGACACTGTGTATCTGGTGTGAGTAGAGAAGATAATTTGTCCTGATGGTTTTATAGATTGACAGATCAAAAAAAAATACCTAAAGAGCCTCCTCCACACCGGGACTTGATTTAGACAATGAGGTTATGGACTTTGAGCAGATACTGTAATGGGATAATACTCTTGGGGGTGGGGGGGGAATGTACTCTGCATATGGTAGGGACAGTAATAATTGCAGCTAGAGGGAAGACTGTGGGGGACACATTCATGAAGTCACCCTCATGATCCTGGTTTTCACCTCCTGTGTAATCACCCCCTTTCGAGTGTTCCATGACCTATCACTATTTGCCAACTGATAAAATAGGGCAAAGGGTATGGATGTCCCTGATTACATGCATTTGATGATATGATTATGTCACATAAGACCAGTGCCTGTTTTTCCCTCTTTCCCTTTGTGGCTTCAAGGAAGCAAGCAGCCATGTTGGGGAACCCATGTGGCAAGGAATGTATACAACAGCCGGCAAGAAATGCAACCCTCAGTCCTACAACCACAAGGATGTGATTTCTGCCAACAACCTGCATGATCTTGGAGCAGATCCTCCCTCAGGTGAGCCTCTGATGAGACTGCAGCCCTGGCCTTTCCTGTAGCCTTGTGAAACTTTAAGCAGAGGACCCAGTCAAGCCATGCTTGAACTCCTGACCCAGAGAAAGCTAAGATAATAAACATGTATTGTTTTAGGCTGCTAGATTTGTGGCAATTTGTTATATAGCAATAAGTCATCCACACAGCAGTTGTGCGACCCTGAGACTGAGTGCGTACTTCAACACTGCACCCTAAGCGGCCCCCTGGCCTCACCCAAGTCCCCGCTGTGATGGCACCGTGCGTTAGCATATGTGCACAGTACCTGAACAAGCAGCGTCACTGGGCCACTTTTATCAATTTCCAGGATCTCCCCATTTTTTGTTCCCACCAGGATATGTCCATGTCCCAAAGTGATGGCACGAATTGAAGGGTTATCTTCCAAAAGCAAGCCTGAGGGGGGAAATGTTGTACTTAGTATTGTAAATAGTGCATTTAGTAGAACAACAACAACAACAAGCCTCATAATCATATATACTCTGTCTTTGTAGTTCAGAAGTACTAGGTACTAGGCAATCATCCTTGATATTTCTACAAGGGGCTCAGAGGTCTAACTGCAGAAGAAGGAGAACCGATTTAGTAATGGGTGTCCACGAACTTGGGTACCATCTTTTCCATTCCTGTGGAAAGAAAGATTCCGATCACATATTTGGGGGTGGCACCTTTTGAGCTGGTTGACAATGCTGCTCTTTTAATGGCGTAAGTCTTCAAGCATCTTTCAAACATATCATCCCAGAGTTCCACAATTCCATCCTTTCCACCTGTTACAAAACCCTGCGAAGGCACACACGGGAAGAATGAAATATACATCAAAATGACAGGTTGCCCACCTGACCTGTAAAGGGCTTCCCCTTGGGAAAAGCAGCTTTGTCTGTGTTTCCTTCCTAAGTATAGGAGACTGAAAAACCTGATTACAAGTAATATTAATATAATATTTCCTAGAAGCATCCCTCCCCTACTTCTCTAGTGGATAAAGCACATTTTCAATGTGTGTTCCCCACACTTTCCTCAGAACTTTGGTTGGTATCTGGCACCATAGGTCCATCCTGGATGGCCGTTTCTGTGCTCTGTCCCCCACTTAAATGTGGGCGCCTAAGGAACAGGAAAGCCTGGCAGAGTTTCTGGTATCTCATCTATTCCTACTGAATGAACTGGAATTAACATTGCAATTAAAAATGATTATTAAATATGTTCAAATTAGATATTTACTTCCAGGAGAAAACATCATTATCTTTTAAGAGAAACTTAGGCAGTTCATGTAACACAACCATCCTATTTTGTTCAATGGACATTGATGCCCATAATAATTAAAATCCAGATTAAGTTTTATAAAACCTGGAAAGTAAAATGATTAACATATTAGGTTTGTTTTTGTTTTTGTTTTTTACTGAAGTGATCTTTATTCTTGTTCTAAGCTTATGATTTCTTGGCTTTACTAGTTTTTCTTTCTGGGAAATTATATATACCAACTGCTCTAAGGAAAAACCTTTTTTCAATGAAAAATACTAAGTAATTGTTTTCTTGGAGACTTTTAGTTTCCTTTATTTCAAGGAAGTTCACAAGGAAATAATATTTTGAAGGTTTTTTTACATTAAATACCTATATTCTCATTATAGATTTGTAGGGGAGACTCAATCCCCAAATTATATTCAAATTAGACTGTGACATCCTGGTATTTTACATGATGTTTCGGATTAACTTATCAAGCAGTGAAAGAGTTTAAACAAGTTACAGCACATCAACTTTGAGACCTCTTCAGATTTTGCTTTCTACTTTCATCTTGTCTAATGTACAGTTTTAGCCAAAACAAATTTACCAGTAAAAAACAGCTTAACCACTAAAACTATCATTTTAGTTGCACATCTAACAAGAACCTACTTCAGTACTGGGATCAGCATATTTACCTGGGAACAGGGAAATGCAAAATGAGACGTGGCTTAGTTAGGTTTGTTGGGTGGCTTATGCTGTTCAGAGGTCAGAGAGTAGACAAACTGGTACCACCAGCAAGCTGGCAGTGAATAAAAAATGGATTTTTCTGGCAAAGTAGTTGAACAAGGTATTTTCACAGTACTGACAATAAGTGTGATCTTTCTTTAAAAAACAACAAACAACAACAACAACAAAACACTGTAAGGCAGGAAGGTGGCTGGACAACAAAGATGAGCTTAAGTGGAAATAGGGCAGGTGTGATTAATTTTGTGTCAACCTGACTGGTCACAGGGTGTTCTCATTAAATATTATTTCTGTATGTGTCTGGGAGAGTATTTCCAGGTGAGATTAGTATTTGAATTGGTGCACTCAATCAAGTAGATTGCCCTCCCCAATGGGGGCGAGCATCATCCAATTCTTTGAGACCCTGAATAGAACAAAAGGCAGAGGAAGGAGGAATTCATCCCTGTTTTTTCTGTCTCACTGATCGAGCTGGGACATCTCCTCTTTTCCCATCCTCAGACTGAGAGGCACACTAGTAGCAGCCCTGGTTCTCTGGCCTCTGGATTCGCACTCAGTTATACCACCAGCTTCCTAGGGGCTACAGCTTGCAGAGGACACAGTGGGAATGCTTAACCTCCATAACTGCACGAACCAATTCCTTATAATAAATCTTTTTTTTTTTTTTTGTAGATGTGTATGTGTATGTATGTCCTACGGATTCTGTTTCTCTGGAAAACCCTAATACACACAAAGCCAAGACTTCACTCTAACACTCTTGTTAAAGTTGAACCTGTCTACACAGGAACAAACTGGTTATCAACTAAACTTTTGGTCAAACTGATGAGTGGGACAATAATCGAACCACTTGGTACTTTGAGGTCTTTGCTTGCTGTGTACAAAGGAGGAAGAGAATGCTGAAACATTTCTCAGGACTTGTCTGCTACTGGGTTTGTACATTATTTCAACACCTCTTAAGGGGCTCTCAGGGCTGAGAGCTAGGAGGAATGAGTATGAAAAAAGTAGTAACTGCCCATAAAGAAATAATTATAAATGAAATAATTTTTTAAAATATTTGTACTCCTCTCCATTCATGACAACTATTTCCCAATTCAGACAGGCTTTAGAGACAAGCAAGCATCCTGCTGGTGTGGGCCTTCCTCAGACTAATTTATAATTTTAGAAAGCTAATGATGAAAATATGCCATACCTTATCCAATGCATACATAGCAAACACAGGCCCGTCATGAGCTTTCACTGTCTTTAGTAGTAGAATATCTTTCCAAATAAAAATATCTCCAGTAGCTGCTCCTGAGAACACTAGATCTTCCATTCGCCCATAAGAAACACACATCATTGTTTCCAATTTTCCAGCACTTCCAAAAATTCCTCTTTTAGAGGTGAAGCCCCCACCTGAAGTGGACCAAGAGCATTTATTATTTTTTTGACATACTGACACCTTCTATGAGCATCTGGAATGACTGTCTTCAATGAAAACCCCAGTGTGTCTATGTTATATGTATATGGAAAGATGTATAAAGATGGCAGAAAACATCATAAACAAAAATATTCTAAGAGGGTTTCTCATTTACACATTCATTAATTCAATGTTTATTGAATCCCCCCTTTGTGGTAGATACAGTGGTCAATGCTGGGGTATAAAGATGAGAAGAAGGAGTTTCTTCATTCAATGAACTTAGGTTCTGGTTGGAGAGAGGCTGTCCTTATGCATCTCATTCCAACAGGACATTCATCTAACCAAGGTTCAGTGCCAGTTCCATGCCAGCCAGCGGAGGAGGGACTCAGTGCCTGGGCTAGCTAGGAAAGTCTTCCTGAATGCTGACCAAAGAGAATGCGAACAACACTAGCAGTAATGAAAAATGTGAACATGTGACGTATGTTTTGCCTCGATTTTTGTCATGGGAACTTTAGGGTGAGAAAATGAATCACTGTGTAGGAAAAGGTACATCAGATTTGTCCTTGAGATGTTCACATTTCCCTGTACTTCCTGACAAGCACTGACAAACCCAGACCTAGTCCAGAAAACTACGCATAGACTGGCTCTCCAGACATGTTGGGTGCCACTATCTTTTCTTTAAAAGCAGAAAGCAAAAAAAATAAAAAAATAAAAGCAAAAAGCACTGGAACAGTTGCGCGTTTACATTTTGTCCAGTGCAAGATTACGTGTGCATGGTACCTAAGCCAATACTAAGAATTCACAATCCCAATAACAGGTCTGTTTATTAGTGAGAAGAATAGGATGTCCTTGCATGTTTTGATATGCTTATTCACTCATCCTTATTATCGATATTATAATGCACAAAAATTTATTTGGATCACCTGTTGTGTATAGTGTTGGCGTTTAATTCATGTTTACATTCAGTGATAAAGTAATAAAAGAACCCTCAAAATACTGAAAATGTTATCCACTCAACCAAAGTGATTATTTTCTTTCCTGTTCAGTGATCCAACATAATTACAGCTTTCAGAACAGATGATTAAATATAAAAATAATTGTTTTTACAGAACATTTCCCAAAGCTTTCTAGATATTGACAAACATGCATAGCATCAGATAGAGTGTTTGAGTTTTACAGCTTGGACATTAAGCAGCTCAAAGTGAATTTGGAAGAGCATGTCTTCCAGGAACATTTTAATTTTAAATTGCAGAGACTGGCTAGGTAATGGTGGTGGGCTTTTTTTCAGATAGATTTTTTTTAAAGCTTTCAACCACATAAACGATAAACCCAAACAACAATACCTGCTTGTTGCCAGAATTTGATATGCTTCATCCCAACTGTAACCAGTTTGTCAACATGGTGTGGGTTACACTTAACCACAAATATCTTGTCTTTATGCCCTCTGTAAGAGACAAATAGAAAAAAAAATCTAGTTGTCATGAAGCTTTGATACAGAGTTTTATTAAAAGCATACATTTGGTCTAACTTTCATTAAATACATCTAACAGGACAAGTAAATTAGAAAGTAATTTAAAATACACATAAGGTCTATATTAAAATCATGAGCTTTGACCTTTCTTTGCATGTTGGAGCCCTCTCTTCTAACCCTCATAGTGCTACCAAAGTCTACTCACTTATGCTCTAAACAAATTAATGAAATATTTATAATGGATCAGAATGTCTCCATAAGATAAAATTAATGCCACTATCATAAGATTGCAGTTCTCAGGATATAGAGGTCTTATATAGGAAAAAGGGGAAGACACTGCTGTCATATTAATGAGAAGCTTCAAATGTAATATTCTTTCCTGTGGAAGGCATAACTTCAGGTTAAAGAGAATTTCAGTTAGAAAAGTATTTGCTAGAAATTGAAGCCTCTAGCTCACATCCATGGGAAGAGAAAGGATGTCATCTATTAATCCAAGGCACTCTCACTGAAAAACCCAGATTCATTCAAGAACAACTATACACGGGCTGGCTCTCCAGATGTTGTGGGCCATTATCCTTTAGAAACAGAAACTGCTGAAACAGTAGCTTATTCATGATGTGTTTGTGTGTGTGAACTCAAAAGTCAGATTCTTACTTAATATCATTCCCAGTGGAGTCAGGAACAAGATTATTACCATTGCCATTTAACCTTGTATTGAACATATTAACAAGTGCAAATAGGTAAGATTTTAAAAATTAAAGGCATAAGAGCTGGAATGGAAGAGGTGAAACTATTTCTATTTGCAGATGATGCAACTATGTATCTAGAAAACTCAAAAGAAAATAATGTAAAAACAATTACAAACAAGATAACTTAGTCAAGCTACAGCATACAAAATTAAGTGCAGAATCAACAACTTCAACATATGCAAAAAACAGCTGAAAAATATAATGGAATAAATGATTTTATAAACAACAACAAAAACCAAGGTATAAATTTAACACAAAAACCTGCACATAGATGTTTACAGCAGCTTTAACTCTAATTGGCAAAACTTAGAAGCAATCAAGATGTCCTTCAGCAGGTAAGTAAAAAAAAAAAAAGTGGTATATCCAGACAATAGAGTACCATTCAGTGATAAACAGAAATGAGTTATCGAGCCATGAGAAGACATGGAGGAACCTTTGGTGGAGTCTTTAGGGTTTTCTACATATCAGATCATGTCATATGCAAATAGTGACAGTTTTACTTTTTCCTTACCAATCTGGATGCCTTTTATTTCTTTTTTTCTTGTCTGATTGCTGCAGCTAGGACTTCCAGTACTATGTTGAATAAAAGTGGTAAGAGTGTACATCCTTGTCTTGTTCCTGATCTTAGAGGAAAAGCTTTCAGTTTTTCACCATTCAGTATGATGTTAGCTGTGGGTTTTTCATATATGGCCTTACTTAGAACTAATAAATGAGTTCAGTAAAGTTGCAGGATATAAAATTAGTACACAAAAATCTGTTGCATTTCTATACACCAATAACAAAGTAGCAAAAAGAGAAATTAAGAAAAGCAATCCCATTTATAATTGTACCAAAAAGAATAAGTTACCTACAATTAAACTTAACCAAGGAGGTTAAAGTCTTATACTCTAAAACCTATAAGACACTGATGAAAGAAACTGAAGATGACACAAACAAATGAAAAGATATGCTATGCTCATGGGTTAGAATAATTAATATTATTAAAATGTCCATAGTACCCAAAGCACTCTAAAGATTGAGAGCAATCCCTATCAAAATACCAATAGCATTTTTCACAGAACTAGAATTTACATGGAACCACAAAAGACCTTAAATAGCCAAAGAAATCTTGAAAAAGAACAAAGCAGGATGTTATCACAATCCCAGATTTCAAGATACACTACAAAGTTATAGTACTCAAAACAGTATGGTACTGGCACAAAAACAGACATATAAATCAATGGAACAGTATAGGGAGCCAAGAAATAAATCCATGCCTATGTGGTCAATTAATTTACAAAAAAGGAGGCAAGAATTCATAATGGGTAAAAGACAGCCTTTTCAACAAAGGGTGCTGAGGAAACTGGGGAGCTACATGCAAAAGAATGACACAAGACCACCTTCTTATACCATATACAGAAATAAATGCAAATAGATTAAAGACTTGAAAAAAATAAATGCAAATAGATTAAAGACTTGAAACTGTAAAAGTCATAAAAGAAAACATGGGCAGCAATATCCTGGACATTGACCTCAACAACATATTTAAGGGTATGTCTCCTGAGGCAAGAGAAACAAAAGCAAAAATAAATATCAGGACACTAAAATAAAAATATTTTTCACAGCAAAGGAAACCATCAACAAAAAAAAGGTCACCTACTGAATGGGAGAAAATATTGGCAAAGGATATATATGATAAGGGGCTAATATGCAAAATATATAAAGAACTTATAGAACTCAGCACCATAAAAAAATCCCATTAAAAAGTGGGTAGAGGACCTGAATAGACATTTTTCTAAAGAAGACATAAATGGCAAACAAACACATGAAAAGATGCTCAACATCACTCATCACCAGAAAAGTGCAAATTAAAACCACAATGAGATATTACCTGACACCAGTCAGAATGGCTACTATCAAAAATATAAGAAATAACGAGTGTTGGCGAGGATGTAGAGAAAAAGGAACCCTCATGCACTATTGGGGGGAATATAAACTGGTGCAGCCACTGTGGAAAACAGTATGGAGGTTCCTCAAAAAATTAAAAATAGAAATATTATAGGACCCAGTAATTCCATGACCGGGTATTTACCCAAAGGAAACAAAAACACCAATTCCAAAAGATCTATGTACCCCTATGCTTATTTCAACATTACTTACAATAGCCAAGATATGGAAGCAACCCAAGTGTTCATCCAAAGACGAATGGACAAGGAAGATGTGGTACACACACACACACACACACACACACACACACACACACACACACACACTAGAATATTACTGAGCCATTAAAAAGAATGAAATCATGCCATTTGCAACAACACACACACACACACACACACAGGCACACACACACACACACACTAGAATATTACTGAGCCATTAAAAAGAATGAAATCATGCCATTTGCAACAACACAGATGGACCTAGAGAGTATTATGCTAAGTGAAATAGCCCAGACAGAGAATGACAAATGCCATAAGAGCTCACTGACAGGTGGAATCTAAAAAACAAAACAAATGAACAAATGAAACAAAAGAGAAACAGACTCATAAATACAGAGAACAAATTGGTGGTTGCACAGGGGATGGGGTTTGGGGAATGGGCAAAATAACTGAAGGGAATTAAGAAGTACAACTTTACAGTTATGAAATAAATAAGTTATAGATGAAAAGTACAGCAGTGAATACAGCCAATATTTTAACAACTTTGGATGGTGACAGATAATTACTTTTATCATGGTAAGCGTTTCAAAATGTATATAAATGTCAAATCACTATGTTGTACACCTGAAACTAACATAATATTGTATATCAACTATACTTCAATTAAATAATAAAATAAAAATATAATGTTTAAGTTAGAAATGCTTAATGAAGTATATACAGGTCAAAAGACACGCTGTCTTAAATTTTCTTTAAAATATTCTAGCAAAAAAGTAAGTAAAAGAAAAAAAAACGAGGGGAGGAAGATTTGTACCATCTGTAGAATGATGCAGCTGGGTGAAAAGGAGTCCACTATGCTATTTCCTCCACTTCTGTGTTACTTTGAAATTTTCCATAATAAGTTAAAAGAACAGGACAGAGCATCTCCATGCCCATTACATGGGCCCTACACTGACAGGCAGGGAAAGGAGAGGAACTGATACTTGAACATTCTCTCTTCATTTCTTTGAAAGTCCAAAGTGACACATGGACATTAGGGCCAAGGTACATCACTAGAAGTTATCAGGAACAATTAGGACAGAGAGATAAAAGTTTAGATATGTAAGGAGAGAAAATGTGCTTAACACCAAGAGGAGAAATAGACCAGATAACCATAAAAGACATTAAGCGTCCAAAGATTTCTTGCTTGGAGGAAAATCCCCACAGATTCTAAATCATTAATAAAAACTTTAGAGAGAAGATGCTAGAGAAAACTGACAAGAAAATTGAGAGCAGGTATTACAAATTACATTTCCCACACAGAAAAAAGGACTATTTTGCGTTTATCCAATGCCAAATATTTAGATAGTTGGAAAAATGGTTTTTTTCAAGAGCACTTTCTAGTTTTCATCTAATTTCTTGATGTCATAAAAACACCAGTGGGTTTTCTCTTGTGGCTAAAGTTCTAAACTGATGAATGATGGTATATCAATGTTCAGTTAATGTCAAAACCTACATTAAGGACATTAATGGATACTTCTGCTATCTTTTCCTTAGATACTTGTTAAATCTGTAGAGTAGTTGCCTACAACTGTGTCAGTAAGAAAAATAAAATGGAAAGAGTTTCAGGTCCTAAGCAGAAAGTAAGAATGCAGAAGACTGTCCTGCTGCCCTAATAAAGGATGATTCCTCATGCCAGAGTCATAAGTAATTCACCACATAGGGCCACATTGTAAACTCCACTGGCAAGCACAGGGGAAGAGGGAAGGAATGTGCCTCTTCCAGAAGTCCAGGGCAGCTGCACACAGATGAGTTGGCTTCTAAATGTTCTATTCAGAACCCTTCATTTGCTTAGAGGCCCAGTCCTGTGTGTGATTTGTGTTCTCTTTTTTTGTGGAGGTAGCCCACAGCTTGGAAGAGTGAAGGAATGTTTGATTTATACCCCATCTTCAAAAAGGATTTGAAATAGCTTACAAAACACCAAAACCCGTAAGATACCTATGAATAAACCTAACCCAAGAAGTGAATGATCTGTACTCTGAAAATAAAGAACACTGATGAAAGAAATTGAGAAAGACATAAAAAATGGAAAAACATT